AAATGAGAACAGTGTTTCTTGTGCATATTCACTGTTATATTAGGTATGTAAAAATGCATCATATAGTGTTCAGAAATGTATCACACCGTACACCAAAAAAATGCACATCTAATGGTGATTTCTGAACACTTTGTGGTGCATTTATGCGTGCCTATAATGAGTAACCGTATATATGGCCGTACGAAAAGCACTACCCACACGGGAACCTGATGATATATATATATATATATATATATATATATATATATATATATATATATATATATATATATATAAGTCAAAAACCAAGAGTAGCCATCCACCTATAGCTTGCCAACTCCATATATATCAATGTTAGGTTTCCCACCCCTGACACAAGAAACACATAATATGGGAGAGGAGAAGAAACACATAATATTTTATATTTTTTTATGACTAAAAAAGAATTCTTTTAAAAACAAAATTTTGCCACTGAACTTAATTAGCATGAAAGTCAAACTATCTAAACTTGTAACAAGGTTATTTAATCTGTAACATATTATATTTTGTGATTTACCTACCTCCCCTAAGACTTTAGGACAAATATAGTAAGATTTCTTGAAATTGAAGTGCAATTCTTTGATAATGAAAATACTTAAGTTTAAAGATTTTAGGTAAGATGTTCAAATCTAATAAATCGTGCGTAGTTAAAGAGTATATTTTAAATTAAATTTTTTCTGTGTAATTAAAAGTAAATTTTTTTGACTACGACTCAAACGGAATCTATATTAGCATCGCAGTTATTGAGAATACTAGTTATCATATGCCACCAACAAAAAAAAAAAAAAAAAAAAAAAAAAAAAAAAAAAGTTGAGCCAAGAATAAAATTTAGTATTTTTCAAACGATAGACAAAGACAATTACAACGTGGTAAGGTTTTCTTGGCGTGTGGAGCTTATCCAGACTAGGACAGTAGCTGATATGCAGGCCACTCCATTCATTAGCATAGCTAATAGCTAGCCAAATAATATTAGTAAACTTCAAGAAAGCTAAGAAATTAAAGCAACAAAGAATTTTTTATTTATTTTATTATTATTATTATTATTATTATTATTATTATTATTATTATTTTGTAATTTAGTGACATATATTTATGACTTTATGATAAGATATAAGATATAGATTTGATTTTGAATTTCAATTCATTAGATATACTTGAAAAACACATTAAAATCAAGTAATATGACATTGTTTTAAGTCTTAGATGTAGCATATATGGTATTAGGTTTGGTGGGAAGAAGCGATATTATTATTTAGTTATCTTTTGCTTCACTCTTCCCTTATATAGTTAACATGGTGTTTAAACATAGTTCAAAAATTTATAATTTTGTGATATAAGTATAAGACTCTTTATAATAAGTCTCGAGATCGATGGATAGATCCAACAAAATTCATATTGCTAAGGCATCACATGGTACTTTTGGCAAGTTTCAGTGAATTAGTTATTTTTTCTTTTTCTTTTTCTTTTTCTCATTTTTGTACTCTGCTTGATTCTCGTTTTGCATACTATAATTGAAGTATTAACTTTCATCCTATATATCTATCCATCTACTATACTATATATATATATATATATATACTAATAAAAGCCCAAGAGAGTTAAGCCTATAATGGGTAGAAAAAATGGCGGTCACAGATTTTAATTAAATGAATGGCTCAGATTGATTAAAAGATTGATAAGATTTAAATTTTACACTAAAATTTCCTAAAATACCCACACGCCGTTACTAATTCCGTTAAAATTTTAAGAATTGCCGTTAGTTCACCATTAACTTACTCATTGATTTGAATTAAAAAAAAAAAAAAAAAAGGTCTTAGGTTCGAACCTCATCCCAATCAAAGTTGGCATAATTAGTACTCTATTTTACTCTTATTAAATTATATATAAATAATAATTTAGTAGCTACAACAAAAAATTATAGATATGCATTTATTTAATTTAGAATTATGTGTCCACAATGTCTTTATTCAAAAAAAATTTATTCATTATCAATAAATTAAATAAGAGAAATAATTGTATTAGTTATATTGTCTTTATTTTTCTACAATATAAAAATTCTTTATATTCAAATTTATTAATTGATTATATTCGCTACATTGTCCTTACAATGTCTTAATTCAGTGAAAAAAAATTATTCATTATCAATAAATTAATTAAGAGAAATATTTTCACTAGTTATATTGTCTTTATTTTTCTCAAATGTAAAAATTTTTACATTCAAATTCATCAATTGATTATATTCACTACATTGTCCATTATCTTTTTTTGTGCACTATTTTTCTAATTAAATATCAAAGTTATAATACAAAATAATGCTATATATTTATTTACCAAGTATTTTATTAATACCATGAAAAAATTAAAAAAAATATATAATTAATAAAGTCAACCATATTAACTACTTGAGAGATTTTGTGACAAAGAGAGTATTCAAATCACATAACAAATTGAAGTGAGAACTACCTTGCAATGTCCTTGTTTGACAATCAGCAGTTAGCGCGCGGATTATATTAGCGGATTTGACCAACGAATTTATTTAATTATTAACATTGGGTAGAAAAAAGACCGCCAAATTATTAAATCAAATGAATGGTTCAAATTGTTCAGGTTTTAATTTTTTTTAAAATTTTTCTAATTTATCCTTAATTATATGATTATCCATTTAACTTTTCCGTTAAATACCGTTAATTCACCGTTAGTCTAATTATAATATTAACGTCTAATATAGAATTATAATTACACCATTAATCTAATTCTAATATTAAAGTCTTAATAGAACTTAACCACAAATCCTAATGTCGAAATCTCATCAAACAATATTAGTATATATTTAATATTTTATGCACTAATTTTTATTTGTTCTCCCTTATGTCCCGTATTTGGTTTCAACCATACCTATACAATTATTTTATTGACAATTATAATCAATCTTGACTATATTATCTTGCATTTGTAAACTTAGAATTACCTATTTAACCCGCACGGGCTTAGCTCAATGGTTTAGTGGGCAGTATTTGGGAGAAGAGACCAAGGTTTGAACCTCGGCGGCGGCAGTGCGGGAATTATGTCCAAAGTGGGCAGATTCCTTGTTCGCACCGGCATTTGGTCCTGTCTGCTGAACCATTGAGTCACCGTGATTTACAACTTCCTACAATGCTCTGTCGGGTCAGAGTGTGGGGGGCCCTTGGGGTAGGGGACTCAACCTTTGGGAGAAGAATTACCTATTTAAATACGCAAATTCAACCTTCAATTATCTATGCATGAATAATTTCAATATAATCTTGCCTTAATATACTTTAAAGTACTTATTTAAAAAAAAAAAAAAAACATTGGGCATTATCTCAATCGCGCAATGCGCGTCAAAAACTAGTATAAACTATAATGTCATGGAGAATCAACGAACTCAGTGATAGCACGTGCTGCATGCCATCTTATCTTATAATAATAATAATAGTAATAATAATAATAATAATAATAATAATAATAATAATATATTCATTTATTCAATCTCAAGGTCTTAATTGGCTGTCAAATGACCTCAAAAACATCATTCCAAGAATCGAACTATACATACATGATGAGTTGACTTTATATATATAATATATAATATTATATATATATATATATATATATATATATATATATATATATATATATATATACACACGCACATATACACACACTCACACACATATACACATTCTAAATTTTTATTCTAATAACCATACATATACCTATAAAGTTAAGAATATTATGCATATTAAGTAGTCTTAAAAGATATACATGATCAAGTGAGTGGAATATAATTTTAGTATTTAATAGTCATGAGTTTAATTTTTGTCAATATTTTTTAGTCGAGTCTGTTACATTGACACGCTTTTGAGTAGTGGTGGCGGGTTTTCCACGTTACCAAAAAAAGTAATAATTAATGCATTGGGAGATGTTTACAGATTTTGGAAACAACTATAACCCATTTTGATATTTTGATCATAAATACAGGATTGGAAAAACTACTATTTGTAAGTTCTAACCACGGAAAACCTTAAGTTCAAACCTTGGATAGTTATGCTGTGCATCCGTATGCACCATGCATGGTGCATACGGATGCAAAAATGACGTCGTTTTATTAAAAACGCGCGTCTCCCCTTTAAAAAAAAAATTCAGGTACGACTCCCATAAACAACATTATGTTGTTCATTCATTCTGGAATTTTAGTTCATAGATTATGGAATTTTAGTTCATTGATTCTGGAATTACAGTTCATCGATTCTGGAATTGTAGTTCATCGATTCTGAAATTTTAGTTCATAGGTTCTGGATTTTAGTTCATTCATTCTGGAATTTTTAGTTCATAGATTAGATTCTAGAATTTTAGTTCATAGATTATGGAATTATAGTTCATCGATTATGGAATTTTAATTCATATGTTGTTGCTGGGAATCGAACCTGAATTTTTTTTAAGGAGAGACGCGCGTTTTTAATAAAACGACGTCGTTTTTGCATCTGTATGCACCATGCATGGTGCATACGGATGCACAAGATAATTTGCCTCAAACCTTGGTCTCGATTCTCAAATACTGTCTACTGAACCATTGAGCTAAGCCCGTGTGGGCTGCTCATTGCTATTCTGATTACACATTAAAAAATCCTTTAAATAATATTAGAGTCAGACACATACAAAAAGTTATGAGTTTGAACCTCTATCCTACTTTATGTTCATGTTGCACACCATAAAATATAAATGTGCAACCAACCATCAATCTATATATACTTATAGTTGCTCGCATGAACAGCTCAACTAGTCAAAGGGGTGAAGTTTGAGAAGAATGAATATATACTTATAGTTAAGACTAAATACATTGATATCGAAAAGTAAAGTTTTTACGTCATCCAATGAAAATTGATTATATATACGTTTTATAATAATCCAAGTTGTACTAGGCCCAATATAGAACTTATTCGTTGAACATTAGCCCAAATAGATATAACCTTTCTTTGACGAAGAAAAAGCCCAATCATCTTCAGACGGGCGAGAGACAAATAACGGATACAATAGCTTTTCCGGCCACCGGTTCCGGCAAGTTTTCTTAGAACTAAAATGGCAATCCACACAAGACACAATACGCATGAAAAGTAAACACCCAAATCTTCTTTTTAGAAGAAGAAAACTAATAATGCATGAAAAGCAAATTAAACACCCCAAATTAAAGCTGCGCCGCGCTGGCGGGCGATCAGTTTATTTTCCGGCAATTGGTACGGATTTGGCCGGTGGTTCCGGTGAGCGGGCTGAGGTTCCCCATCTTGACGATGGCTTTGGCGAAATCGGCGGCGAAAGTGAGAGGGCGGTTACTGTAAGCCGTGACCTGAGAGTCAGTGGAGCCGCCGCTGAAGAGCTGCTGGTCGGAGTGGAGAAGGCCCTTGTTGTCCACCAAGGCCTTGAAAAAGCCGTTGTCGAACGCCACCGGACTGGTGGTGTCGAGCGGGGAGAGATTGTCGTCGTCGCCGGTGCTCGGACACGACGACTTCAACGACGTCGCGAACGATGCGTCGATGTTGCTCTCGTTGTAGGCCCGTGTCCTGAATGTTGAACACCTAGCTTGCCCAATTGTATGAGCTCCTATAAATCAATCCAGATATACACATTAGACCAAAGTACTGGTCAGATTGATTATTTCCGGAGATTTGTGTTAAGAGTGAGAGAATATATGAGTTTATAAGGTCATAGGTTAGACTAACTAATTGGTTGGATTCCTAATCTCTCTTAGGGAGCGCCAATTAGTCTGATTAGACTTAATTCTCATTTGATATGATTAATGTGCAGAAATATATAGTACCTGAAAGGACAACCATTTCTTTGTCTGTGAAGCCTTTATTAGAAAAAGCAGAAACAAGGTCACTGAGATCCATCAGAGGAGATGGTATATCATTGTTTGCATCATCTAAACTCGCTGTAGAAGAATCTCTTCTCCCCAGTTGAACCACCCAAGAAGGACCTCCCAACTGAAGAAACAAAAAAAAAAAAAAAAAAAAAAACAATACATTACTGATAAGACACTTAGAAAAACGTAAAATATAAATAAACAAATTACAGAAAGATAATAAGTAGACACAAATATTTTTTGCTTGAAAACTATTAAACATATATACAAGAGTATAATTGAATTGCTGTGCAAAAATAGAAATTTGGAGAAAGGGTATATATTTAGCTTACTACTGCTACAGAGTCTCGAGCAGCAACGGCTAAAATATCTGCACAGGAAACAACTCCCGGACATAAACTCTCCAGTTTTGACTTCACTGTATCAATCACTTCAAAACCTCTAGCTGATTTTGAATTTGCTAAGGCAGTCTTCTCTCCGGTAAAAGTCGAAGTGTCATCTAGAAGTATAGACGCATCACATCCCTATAACACCGAATCAAATCACAAAAGTTAATTTTTTTTGATTGATGGATCAAATTAACAAAAACCCTAAATCCATATATGCATGCATGCATACACACTGCATGCATATGGGATATGATCGAACTAACAAAAACCCTAAATTCATATATGCATGCATGCAAGCTCTATATATATAATCAAAAAGAGCGTTTTCAAGAACATGCATTAACGAAACAGTCGTGAAAATGAAGGCGGAGCAAAGAGGCTCCCATTCGATGTTCCTTCGCCACGGCGTCACTTATGACGCTTTTAATGGTGGAGAGCGCTTTCGGGCATGATTTCGAGTAGTAGTCCGATGACAGCTGAGCAGAAACCAGTCCGAGGAACAGGGAAAACACAAGCAAGAAGCAAGGTTCCGGTCGCCGGAGGACAGCCGCCATGACTAAATCAAATTATTAGCAATATAAGAGTAATTAATTAAGGAAGTAATTATATGAAGAGTAAAAGGAGTTGATGGTGCAGCTAGGAGAAGTTGGGCTGAATTTATAGATGCTGCATGGATTAATTGTCTCTGACGTCTCCACTTGTGATTGAGGACCAAACAATCTGACTAATGACAACGTTATTATTATTAATTGGTTTACAATCAGAAAAACTAGAATCTTAACATATAGTGCTTTGGTCGTAGGTGTGAATTGAACAAGTTTTGTCCAAAGATTCTGATAAATTATTCAAACATTATTATATTTTTGTTCTTTCCTACCATTTTTTTTTTACCTTTAAATTCATCAGAGTTGAAGTCAATAATGTCCATATTCACTTCATGTATATTGGAGAGCACCCAAACCTAATAACTCAGAAGTCAGACCATTCTCTCTATATATCATATTTTCAAACAATCAGAAAAATTATTATTTAGATAATCACAAAATTCTAAGTTCAATCGTCAATCAACTATGAGTAACCTAGTGTGGACCTTAGACTAGCAATTGCGGACTTTCCAGTAAATCAGAAAAAAAATTATTATTTTGAATTTAATTTAATTTAATTATTTCACTTAAATTCATTAGAAGTCTAAGTTTTTTTTTTTTTTTTTTTTTTTTTTTTTTTTTTTGTGTTAATTAAGAATGGTAAAAGGTCAAAAAAGCTCACACTAGCAGGAGTTGGTGGGGGCAGCAGAAACAATATAATCTTAAAATACAGTGATTGAGTGCAAATTTCTCCCTTTGAATTTTATGCACAAATGACAAAACCAGTAGTCAGTATTTTTTATTAGTGCCCCGGAGGCAACAAAATGGGTAAAACATGATTCTCGTATTAAAAGTTAAGTTCATCAAGTTCGCCAACAATTTATTAGTTGAGCTCGTCATCGCATCGCAGGGGTTCTTCTTAGTGCGATTTTATCCCTCCCGGAGTATTGTGTAGGACCATGCATACTACGGGGTGTTTGGTAAATACTAAATAGCTGTTAGTTGATTGACAGATTAGTGAATTTGATTAGTTGATAGCATTAACTGATTGTAGAAAGATGTTTGGTAAATTAGTTGTTAGCTGATAGCTGATTACATACAAAATGATTTTTCTTTAAAAACTGATAACAAATATTGTTTTGACAATTTTTATGAATTTTAGCGTTTTGGAACAATAAGCTGTTACGAAAAAACTAATTAATCAAACACTAATATTTATTATTTAATTACAAACAATTAATAATGGTCAAACAAGATAAAATTGACTTATAAATTAACTATGTTATCAAATATGACCTAAAAAAATATTATTTATGAATTATGAGCTTTATTATCATATTTCATCATGAGTATATATATGCACATCATTTTCATTTTTTTCACTTCTCACACTTTCTTTCTTATAACCCAAACACAAATAGCATATAGTCCTAGGTGTGAACAAGTTTTGTCCAAAGAATCTGGTAATTACTTAATTTTTTTTTATTATTATTGGTAAACTCCCAAACCCAATAATTCAAAGAACCTTCTCCTCTATATACATGTATCACACCTGCAATCAAATAACGTAGTAAATTAATATTTTTTAATTTTAATTTAATTCATTCCACTTGTAATCCTTTAATTACTTTTAAAAAGTCTGAAATTTTGTATAAGATTTAAGAACGATTAAGGTCCAAAAAATTTACACTTAACTGATTTGGCTTTCCATATACTAACTAACATTTTGCAACACTCCGTTAGGCCATTAGGGGCTTCTGAAGGTTTTTAATCAATTCGAGGCATCATAATGTGAATATTTAATAAGTAATTACAAACATTAATGTATGTTTCTAAACAATTAAACCAATTGAATAAATTTAAATCAAACAATACTTATAACATCGAAAAAAAAAAAGTATGTCTGTATATGACATTTTAAAGATAAAATTATCCCAATTCTTACACGCATTTGTGCATTTGTACTCCAAGCTCCATATTTCAAATGTCGACCCGGAATTTATCTGCACTGTAGAGTCTGGGCGAGCTAACGAGCTCACAGTGTGCAGTGGCTATGGCGGTCTCGTCTTTACGCCTCTCAATCTCTCTCCGTCCCCCCACTCCTTTCAGGACCCTCCAATTTACAATCCCTCAGAAACGTTTAACATTGTTTGTTTGCTTCTGCTCTTCATCTTCGGTAGCGCCACTTTCTCTCGAGCCTTGCACCACCGCAGAAGTTGTAGCTCCGCCGCCGTCTAACGCGCCACACAGAATCTCCGCCGCCAAATGGGAACCTTTCCGGAAAAAGAAAGTCGTTATGCGAGTCGGTTACGTCGGCTCCGATTATCGAGGTAGCTTACTCTTCGCTACGGTTATCTTTTCTGTTTGTTGTGGTTTGAATCGGATTAGACGTTTCTTACCTCTTAAGAGTTTGCATTTTGGTAATTATTAGTGGTCTGTGTTGAATTTTGGCGCAGGACTTCAAATGCAAAGAGATGTGCACGCGCTATCTAGTAAGAAACCGTTTCTCGAGCTGGAATTATATTTGAATGCACTGTTTTCTGAGTTCATCCTTGTTTAGTAGTCAATAACTTGAAATTTTGGGGGAAAATTTTCTGTTGTTTAACAAAATTTGGGATTGGAGTTGTGAATTTTCTCAGTGATAAACATGATAATTGAACACAATTGTGCTTGTATGGATTATGGATGTATTTATGTAGATATGTAGAAAGCAGCTTTTGACTGCGTAACTTCTCATCAGCCTAGCCAGCATGGCAGCATAGATGGGAATATGGGGTTTTGCTAAAGCATTACAGTTATGTAATGCAGCCATTGAAGGTGAATTGGAAAAGGCTATTTTCAATGCTGGTGGTATTAAAGATACTAATTTTGGGAATTTGTACAAAATTGGCTGGGCAAGAAGTAGCCGAACTGATAAAGGAGTAAGCTGCACTTTGGCTGCGCTTTTTCCATGCTTTCTTTTGTACCGTTTACTCTGCACTTCTCCTCTGAGGTTATTGCTAATTTCATGTACTTGTATTACACATCAGGTCCATTCATTGGCTACTGTTATATCTCTGAAAATGGAAATCCCTGAGCATGCATGGAAGGATGATCCCAATGGCATGGGTCTTGCTACTTGTGTGAATTCTTATCTCCCTGAGAGCATCAGAGTGTTCAGCATACTGCCATTGCAAAAGTGAGACTTTAGTTGTTAATCATAAATCTTGAATATATGTGTCTGGAACAAAATCTTATTTTCATGTATCAAGAACTAACAATTTGCAGAATTTTAATTTTTTATGGTCAAGAATGGCAGCTTAAGTTTCGTTCATTAGGTATTAGTCTGGACTTTCAGTCTTTCATTGACTGAATGTAAAAGAACTTTCACGCTAAAAAGCTTTTATCTTATGTTGTGTCATATTATTTTATATGTTTTGTAACCAATGAGGTGTAAGAGAGTGTAGTTGACTGGTTGAAAGAAATCAAGTTTATGTTTTATCTTCTTCACCTCAAGAATAAAAAACCACATTGTCTGATAGTCAGTCATATAAAGCAGCATAAATGTGGAGAGCTGTGTACCATTGTTGAAGTATGGATTATTGATGATGGGTTGTATGTCTCTCTGATCTCAATCACTATGAACTTTTAGCAAGGGCCTTTTTTTTTTTCCTGATTAGTAGATGATAAAGCTACTTGTGATGGTCTCGTGATCTTTGTTATTCTCTGACAAACTTTTATGTATTTATTTTTTGTGCATTCATCTTTTCAATCATTTTTTCCTCCTCGTAATGTGAAAGTGATCCTGTGTTACACATTGTGATTGTTATTGTGGTTTCATATGTTAAGATGATTTATTTGTTAATATTTCACTTACAGGACATTTGATGCTAGAAAGGAGTGCAATGTTCGCAGATATTCTTATCTTCTTCCTGCCGAAATTATTGGAATAAAGAACAACTCAACCTCATCTGAAGTTGACTGTCATTTATCAGATTTTAACAATATATTAAATGCCTTTGAGGTAATTTATTTTTCTGTGTCAAAAAATTTCTTTTCCTTCTCCAATTAAGTTCCGTGTTCATGCGATGTGTTATCAAGTTCTTTTGCTATTATTTGCTGTGTTGGTGGGCGATGTTTATCCTTTAAAATATGTAAGATGGGCAAGATAGTCAATGTAACTTGCCTATTCTCTTAACCCATCTGAGTTTCTATTCATCATAAGAATACATTAAATGAAGAAAGTAAAGTTTCTACATTCTGTTATTGTTATTATTCGATTTAAAATCATTGATCTATAAATTAACATGACAATTGGATTATTCGGTTCTGCAACTAGCATGTTATAGTATGCGACCATTTATGGGGAATGAGTAATATGTCATTTTTCAACCATTTGGTATTTGTGATGGGGCTGCAGGGTGAACATCCATTCCACAACTATACTATACGATCCAAGTACAGGAAACAGCTTCCTACTAAAACCAAGAAAAAAGATAACAGAGAAAAGCCGTCTCAGAAAGAAGCAATGTCTGAATCTGAGGAAAGTGATGTAGATGAATCCTTTGCAGCACAGGATGTTGTGACAACTGTTGAGGAAAGGACTGAGAATACTCCACCAGGGATCCATGATAATATGAACAATCTGGACGATCAAAATCCCATCTTGCCAATCCGTGCAAGATGGCTATATGAAACTGACGCCAGGGATAAACTCAGTTCTTCTCATTTCCGAAAGATATTACATTGTAATTGTGGGAACTTGGAGCAGTTACATGGTATGAATTATGTGGAAATCTGTGTCTGTGGAGAATCATTCATGTTACATCAAGTAAGTGTTTTAGTTACATAGTCATTAGCTATGCATGCATCTTTCCTGATTGATTTCACTTGGATCCCTAAAGGTTTTGGTCATTAACACCTGGTCACCTGGCTGTTCTAATAATTACACCTAGGCCCCCTAAGCTTTCATTCTCTATTTCACTTTAGTCCATAGTGCATATTTATTTCCCATCATGCCCCTATCATTTTCATTGCCATATTTTACAAAAGATTAAGCACTTCATTTAGTGTGTTAATAAGGTGTCCAGGTGTAATTTTCATAACAAGAAATGATTCAAGTGTTTCTGGCCTGAATCTCAGGGACTCCAATTGAAATTATCACCTTTCTTTTAATCCATTAGTACAATTCTTGTTTCCAGAATTAATGGATTTGAATATATTTGGCTCTACACATGCTGCATTTTCTCTTCCATTTTAAAATGATTCTCTGTCACAACTTGTATCTTTCACTCATTGTCTTCAAAACTAAGAGGTTTGATAAGTATGAAGTTTTTTTTTGTTTTTTTGGGTCTTAATATATATTTGTCATTGGTTAAGAATCCTCTATTCTGAGTCACTTCTAGTAGCTTGTGGGCTCGCGGAAAGAAGAAATATCTCTGTGAATTTTCTCAAACTAATTTCTGTTCTTATTATGCAGTTAATATTACTTTCAGTTGATTGAGTTTTCTTGATTCATTGCATTTATCCAGATACGCAAAATGGTAGGAACAGCGATTGCAATAAAGCGCAACTTGCTACCCCTGGATGTTTTAAAATTGTCTCTTAACAAGTTTTCACGGATTGTCCTGCCCCTTGCCCCATCAGAAGTTTTGATTTTGAAGGCCAACAGCTTTGCTTCAAGAACACTACCTGGCAACATAGCAAGACCAGAAGTGTTGAGACTGTTAGAATCCGAGGACATTCTTGAGGCTGTGGATCAGTTCTACAGTTCCACAATGTTACCTCAATTATCTAGATTTTTGGATCCTTTAGCGTCTCCATGGAGGGAGTGGGTAGCACTTCTGGACGCAAACACAAGTATACCAGAATGCCAATTGGAAGAAGTTAGGACTGGATGGACTGGATGGAAACTACAGATGAAAAGCAAAAAGAAGCCTTTGTCAACATTGAATTGAGGTACATCTACAACCATTCAGTAAGCTATATTTCAGCATACTTCTACTCCTACTAGTACAATAATTCTAAGGTGTCAGATTTACACCGGGTACAATTCAAAAAGTTTTGAGTTGTACAAGGTACTGTGGGTACATTATGGGTACAACCCAAAAAGCTTTTTGGGTTACACAGGATACTGTGGGGACATTACCTAGTACAACCACACATGCATTTTGGATTGAACCCAGTGCAAAACTACATGCAAATCAATCAACACTGTAGACTTTCCTCAACCATAAACCACCTTTCACAACACCAAAACTGTCATTACAAGCATTAAGTGTATGTGAAGTCTATGACTGTATTCATGTTTATGTAAAATAATGATATAAATTTGCCAAACTAGTAGATAACAGCCCCTATCAATCTTCTAAACCATCATTAACTAAGGAATGACTACTTATTGCATGAGCAAAAGTTATGCATTTGAGTTTGGATAATTTGATGGATTTGGAGGGAACCATAATAGCTTCTTTTTTTGGGTGATGAGGGAAACCCGGGTAAATCCCACCTTGTGGCCTAGCCGGCAAAGGACCACAAGTAGGTAAACAAACCAAGGTTGCTATGCCAATAAGCTGCTCTTATTGGGAGTCGAACTTAAAACCTTGTGGTTACCAAGCTAAGAGCCCGACCAACTTGGCTTAGGTTGCCTTTCAACCACAATAGCATCTTGATCTTACAATGTATTGCTCTTTGGATGCAGACAGCAAATGTATGACTCGGATCAATTCTTGGTGGGAATGAAAAGCTTCTTGATAAGCTCTACTCTGCTATCAGCCAAGGAGCAACTAGCAAAGCCAATGACTTGATATGAAACCAGAAAAATGAGAACACATTCCCCAAAATTCATACTACTATGTTGTTGTTAGCCATTACTAATGAGTAATGAGACACTGACATGATTTTGTATTATATACGTATGTAGTATCGTCCCATCCCGGCCATAATGCTTGCCAGATTATTACACAACACGTACATACAGACAACAACTCAACAAGCAATCTATTCCTCATCATTTCTTAGGCCTAGGAACTAGGAATTTATGGTTTGACAATGATGTTTGAAATTCTTGAGGGCATGAATATTGCTACGTGCAAGATATTCCATGCCCGTGATAAAACATGAAAGCTCGATTAATGCAAGTTATTGTGTAGATCATGGTCCACTGGTCTACGCAGTGTTGTGTGGACCATAATAAAAAGTACATTATTCGTGTATTGAATGTACATTATTTGATAGTATGGTCCACACAATAATGATTGCACGATTTAGTATGTCAATTGGTCAAGCTTTATTGGTTTTGGACTAGTCAGCTGATTTTTTATTTTTATTTTTATTTTTTTTTATGGTGTCAATCATCGATTTTGGATTAAGATTGACATCTGTATTCATGATTTATACTTGTTTAATAGCGTGTAAATTATACATGATAGGTCAATTTGTACCAGGAAGGTTTTGTGAGACAAGTCCGACTAAGAAGGTGTGGTAAGAATTGAACTTTTGACCGAGAATTATGTTCCATGTATTCACCTTGACATCAGTCCTGATCTCACCTCGACATCATTCGGATAGAAAAGAACATTAAAGAACAACAGACGGTACTAAACATATCAAATACTTTGGGTCCACTAAGGTGTATATATGATGGTACAGCAGGGTGGGGCGGTAATTGCGCCGTTCTAAGTCTTCATTTCCAGTCTTCTAAGTAAGGTAACGTCCTATGCGCCGGCCATTTGACGTTCCCACGATACATTTTGTCATGTTACATTGTTACTACAAATCTTTAATTTTTTTTGTTGTCCAAAGGTATCCCTCCAGTCGATAGTAAGAAAACTAATCCTCCGTCTCAACGGTCAGCACACTAAGTGGTAGGGGACTACAGATCTTTAATGATTAAGCTAAGTGAATCCATAAATGAGAAATTATACTAATAATTTTATTTTGTTAATAAACTCTAATTTACTCGTGATAATATTATGCCACAAGATAAGGAATTAGGAGATAAGAGTATATTGGTTAGTGAGTATAAAGTGATCGAGAGCTTGGTGGGCACTAGGAGGTTAAACAATTCCGATTGTTAAAAGGGCTTCTTTATGCTTGTACAAATGGTAATATGGAGTAGATGTCTAAAGTGTACAAGTATAAGTCCAATAATACTTTACCCTCTGTTATTTTATTATTATTATTATTATTTAAATTGAAGTAGATGTCCAATCGATTTTATTATTTTTCTTACATTATTCCGGAATATTTCGTCAACTATTTATTATTCTTAACTTATCCATTGATTTTTATAAAAAAAAAAAATGTCTTAGGTTCGAACCTTATCTCAATCAGAATTGACATAATTGTTGAACATATAATATGAATATGTTAGGGTGTATTAAAAAATATAATATAAAATTTAATATAAACTTTGGTTAATCAATCAATAATTCATTTCTGTAGGGAGTGGCAACAAGAGGAAGTATGGTTCACGTCAAACTGGTAAAATTAATAAGGTTCTGTGTTGCAAAATCTATGTTTGGGTACTATCTAGTGAGACCGGGTGTTTTCCTGTAAAATTGCTATTGCACCGGTTAATCAAACATTTCTACCACAAGTCATATTTATGGATTTTTGAAATTTTATTTACTTTTATAGAAAATTTGATAATATTGCATTGATATATGACAAGATATCAAATGATATTTTGATAACAATTTTTTTAGTTTATGTTAGTGGCATTGATATATGACAGGATATCAAATGATATTTTGATAACATTTTTTTAGTTTATGTTAGTGCTTAACTTTATTAGGTCTTATTAGATTTGTAGAGGTAGATTAGTAGATATAATAATATTATAGTTACGAATTTACCCCTAATTAAATGAAACCTACCTAGTCAAAAATAAAAAATACATTAAGCGACATTAATCATGCGTCTTTTCGCACTTTTTTTTTTCCACACTTCCACCAATCATTTTTACTCCTTATAAGATTATTCAAAAACAAAGCCCCTTTACCAAATCCATTTTCTCCAAGAAATCCAAAAAGTAGGCAAATTATACTCTGTACTAGGAAACTAGGATCTATATTAAAAAAAATGAATTCACGATAAATGTTCAATTTTAATATACTAATGATTCATTTTTAATATACTATAAATTTATTTTTAAATAATATATTAAAAATAAATATGCAATATACGAAAAATAAACTTTAAAATGTAAACATTTATATAATACAATAAAAATAAATCTTTAATATACTAAAAACGAATTTGTATGTTAATCGTAAACCTTATAATATTAGTATTGACTATAGTCCACGATATAATAGACGGAAAGCAAATCAACATCATATCATATTTGATGGTCGAAACAGAAACCCCGCTATCTTCTGTTGGTCTCCAAAGTCAATTTCAGTAGGCTTCCTCTTGTAAATGATTTCTACACTACCAAAACCTCTACAACACATCATATATATATATATATATATATATATATATATATATATATATATATATATATATATATTATATTTCATTTCACATGTTTAGTTTAGTTATCGAGACTTACATAAATTATTTGGCTTTGGGAATGGAGCAGGATTAGTCACTGAACCCTTGACTTTGGAATGGAGTAGGATTAGTCACTATGTTCGACGATGAAACTTTGAGTATACTAAAAAAAAAAGAAGTAAATATCACAAGTAAAAAGAGTAATACTTTGCATTCGATTCTTTTTATATTTTGCTATTAAAACTCTTCTCCATAATTAGGGGTGTGCACAATTTGATAAAAATTCAGTAAATTAACCGAATTGATAGATTTTAGTCAATTGTATTTTTAACTGAAATATTTTAGTTCGGTTGAGAATTTAGAATTTTAATGAATTTTGATTAACTGTTAATTTGGTTCGAAAGTGTCCGAAATCCGAATCATTGGTGTATATATATATATATATATATATATATATATATATATATGTGTGTGTGTGTGTGTGTGTGTGTGTGTGTGTGTGTATGTGTGTGTGTGTGTTTTAATAATTCATAAATCATACTATATATTAAGCTAGTTTTTCAAATTTTTTTCAATTTTATATTGATGTAATAACCCGTTTATGATGTAAAACTATAAATTTTTTTTTTTTTTATTACAAATCTTAAGGATTTTTAACCATGACTAAAATGTTTTTGTTAATTTGTTAACCGATCAATTAATTGAAAAAAAAAATCAATTCAGTTAATTAAAAAATAAAATTTTCAATTTAATTAATTGTTAAAATATTTTATAAATTTATTTAACTTGATTTGCTTATTATTTATTAATTAAATTAACTATATACTGATTAATATACATACCCAGCAATACCATACGACAGCAGTGACGCATGTTATATCATTAATACTAATAATAATTCCTAATTAAAATAGTACATAATCTTGACAAACAACGTACGCAGTAAAAAAACAACGTACGCAGTAACCTTAATTACTGCTAGCTATAGGCTATGGCTTCTACGTACTATAACGGTAAACGGCGTTTAACCGCCGTCCCGTTTTACGGTTGACCGTTGATAGGTTGCCGGTGAGAATAAAAGCTTCGAGTTCTCGCATGGAAGACGAGGGCCAACAGCGTTCCAAAGGAGCAGAGACAACCCCAGATGAGAAAGGTGGTGTGAAAGCAGCTGGTTCCCATGCAGGTTCCGGTGCCGGCGCCGGAGCTATGGCGCCGGCCTTCTCTCTTGTAGATGAGGGCGGCCATGTCGCCGAAGAGGAAGGATCCGATGGGGATGTTGGTGACGAGGATGTTGTGGTTGACGCCGAAATTGTGGGCGCCGAAGAGCTCCGTGGTTGTGGAGACGGCGATGGAAGTTATCGCGCCGGCGCAGATTCCTATCACGGCGGTGCTGACGTAGAGAGAGATGTGGCTGCCGTGGAGCAGTAGGAAGAACGCGCCACACATCGGCACCATCGTGGCGGCGATGCTCGCCGGCCTCGATATCCTGTACTTGCTCCTGAAACAACATATAAACAACAAAACATCATTAACTATTCGAGTTTGGTAAATTCTGTAATCCTAGTAGTAAAGGATTATAAGAAAATAAGACAACTTAGATTATTTATTATTGTGGTCTAGTTGCATAGCTATAGCCCCTCACACCAGAGGTTTCAGATTCGAACTTGGGACCAGTACGGGCTTAGCTCAATGGTTTAGTGGGTAGGAAAAGAGATTAAGGTTTAAAGTGTCTAAAGTGGACAGATTCCTTGTGGACACCAGCATTTAGCCTTGTCTACTGAACCATTGAGTTACAGTGATTTACATAATTTCACATGCGCTATCTGATCGAAGTGTGGGGACCCTTAAGGTTGGGAATTCAACCTTTTGAGACAAGATTCGAACTCGGGGACATTAACTCTTAGGTCGAGAAAATATGTATGAACAGCATAATAGATACTACATTAAAAAAAAACAAGAAGGCAAGACATCCAGAACATAACATGTGTGCATGGGCATTTAATGGCCGAATAAATTGGACCTTGAATTCTGTCAACTAACAAGTACGACGCCATTAATGCAGATTAAGAGAGGGAATGATGAGAGAGAGAGGGAGAGAGAGAGAGAGAGGTTAGGTTACTTTGAGAAGTAGTCATAGAGCGACGGAAGAAGACGACCAAAGAAACTGAGCGACGACGACAGTGAGACCAACGTAGAAGTCTCCGAACTGCCACGCGACTCCGCTATTTGTCCCAAGTTGTTCATGTACACTAACCCAAGCGTCGCCCCAAAGAAATAAACAAAGAAATATAGCCAAAAATCAATTCTTGTCACCATTTTCTTTGCCCCAATCTCCTCCCTACTCCAAATCCCCTCCAAACCTGCATGCCCTTCTTTTGATCCCTCCAATGATAATGGCAGCGGTGATGATGATAGTGGTGGTGATAGTGATTGCGTGGCACCAGATGATGCTAATCGCGGGCCAAGATGGCATTCATTTGATACTGTCAATAATGATGGTGGTAGTGATGG